GGGCGGGGCACTGGCGGTGGGCGGAGCTTGTCCGGAGGCAGGGCTCTCCCTGGATGGGGCTAGTGGCAGCGTGGGGGGGTACCGGGGGGGCCAGGCTTCAGGCAGGGACCCTCCTCACCCCCCTCTTCTCTTCCAGGCGAGATCGGCGGGAACCCCGATCCCTTCAAGGTGAGCCTAGGGTGGGATGCGGTGGGGGGGGAGACGGTCCCCAGTCCCTCCTCTGTCCCCCCTGGGATGTCCCTGTCCCCCACTGGCCCTGACCCTGCTCTCTGCCCCCCCCCCCACAGTACAGCAACTCGGCGGGAATCAACTATGAGACACTGGGTCCCGAGGAGCTGCGGACGCTGCTCACCACGGTGCGTGGTTGGGGGCGTGGGGTCGGTCACCGCGGGGGCTTGGGAGGCTCCGATGGGTGCAGGAGAAGCCCCATCTCCAGCTGGATGGCATGCAAGGGGACTGGGACTCCTGGGGTCTCTCCTGGCTGAGCTCTGTCCCAGCGGGGCTGGCTTCCAGGCTGGGAACAGGGACATTTGTGATCTGACCCCAGTGACAGGGACGTGCATCTTCTCTTAGAGAGGCCCTGCACCCCACTGGGCAGAAAGTCCCAATCCTGGGGGGACATGGTGGCTGCTCTGTCTGGGGGGACAGGACAGCACTGGGAGGTTGGGGTTCACTGGGACTGGGGAACCCATGGTGGAGCGCAGCCTGGGGGCCATGTGGCTGCTCCTTCGCCTGCTCACCCATCCCTTCTCTCCCCAGCAATGTGGGGTCATCTCTGAGCACACCAAGAAGATGTGTACCAGGTGAGAGTCCTGGGCTTTCCCTGCTCGGTGTAGGGCTGCGAGCGGCTTTGTAGGAGATCCCCAGGGTGCCCGGATTACCGTGGGAGCTGGGGGGGGGCAGGGGGCAGACAGCAAAATGCCTGACTCAACCCCATGCCTCCTCCATCAGATCCCTGCGATGTCCCCAGCACACAGATGAGCAACGGAGATCGGTCCGGGTTTACCTCCTTGGTCCCTCTGCGTAAGTGAGCACAGACACCCAGGGTCCACAAGGTCCCAGGGCCGCTGTCCTGGTGTGGGGATGGAGGGGGGGAGGCTGCGTGGGGTGCTCAGGTGGGGCTGGGGACAGGGACACCTCCCGGGGAGGCTTGGAGGGCACAGGAGCAGAGGGCCGGGGTTGGGATGTGCAACCCAGCTGGGTGGTGGGGAGCTGGGTCGAGCCCCCGGCATCCCCCTTGTATCGAGGGCTGTGGTACTGCGGACTCCGTCCCCCACCCCCCGTCCCAGGGGCTGGGGACCCCCATAACGCCTCTGCCCAGGTCCCTGCCCGAGGCGGAGGGCAGCGTGGAGAACGACAGCTTCGAGGTGGCGGAGAGCCAGGCCATCATGAGCCGGCTGCAGTGGGACGGCTCCTCCGACATCTCGCCCTCCGACTCAGCCTCCTCGAAAGCCAGTGAGTGTTGAGGGGGGTTGCAAATCCTCCTGCACAGACCCCTCTGCGGGGGAAAAACTGGGTGTTCCTGGTGTCTCCCCAGCACAAGAGGGGACAGACAGACAGACAATGGCTACCCAAAGCCGCCTCGAAGAGTCCTTCAAGTATCTGCTGGGACATCTTGTCACACACCTTCCTGGGGTGGGGGGAATGTTTTGGGGTACATTTTCCTGTGTATGGATCAGTGATGGAGGGATCCTCTGTGTTTTGGGGGGGCTTCTGCCAGCCCAGCTGTACCCTAACACCCCCATCTCCTCCCTTTCTCCCCGCCCCAGGTACAAACAACTCCGAGTCCCGCAAGACCAAGAAGAAGAAGCCCCACTTGGGGCTGGTGAGCGGCGCCCCGGGGCTTGCCTCCAGCAAGAAGAAGAAGCCCAAACCCCCTGCGCCCCACACCCCCAGCATCTACGACGACATCAACTGAGCCCAGCAGAGCTGATGGTGGGGGGGACGGACGGACAGACGGACACAGGCCGGGGCAGCCCCTCCCGCCCCGGCTGGGGCAGCCCCGCGATTCGGACACAAAGCGGGTACCCGGGGCGCGGAGGATGGAGGACTTGGCCATCGCTGCAGGGGGTGGGGTGGGGGTGGGGGGCTGGACTTGGGACCCCCCATTAGTGCCCCCCTTCCTTCCACCCCCCCCACCCCGGTGCCTCTATTTATTCTGTGACATAGTTTTTGTACGTGGGGCTCCCATCAGGGTTCTGAGGGAGCTTCTCACTTGGAGATGGGGGCACAACCCGCGCTTCCTTTCCCACTGCCCACCCAAAAACCAGCTGCGCCCCCCTCCCACACGCGCTCCTCCAGACCACCCTTACCCCAGCGGGGTGGGGGGCACCCAGGCCCCCAGGGCAGGTCCAAACCTGGGTGATGGAGGTGCAGATCCCTCCTGCCCCAGGGGTTTGGGGTCACCCCCCAACCTGGGGCTGCTCCCCGTCTCCATGCCCCGGGCTGGCACTCGCTGGTCGGGCTGGCTCAGGATGGGGGTGAGCATGGTGGAGGGGGCTTTTTCCTGCTCAGAGGAGCCAAGTGGGACTCCCATACACCCCCAATCTGCTGTAAGCAGCTGGATTTGGCTGCTGGACGTGTTTGGGGCCTGGCACTGCCTGCACAGGGCTTGCCTGGGTCAGGGCTGGGGGGGGTCTGCATGCTGCATCCTTCACATTTGGGGCTGTTTGTGGGGGACACCCTGGGCTACGTCCCCAGCTCGGTGCAGGGGGAGCTGCTGTGACCTTCCCTGCTCCAAACTGGCCTCTGTGTGGGGAGGGGGGACCCCAACCTGCCAGGGACATGCCGTGTACCTGGCAGGGCTGGGAAATGCACCGTACCTCCACAGCCAGAGTGTGACCTGGGGGGGGGGGGACACAGCCCAGCTTGGAGGCAAAGCCCCCCCCTACTTCGTATCCCCAGGCTGCTGGCCCAGGACAGCTCTGCGTCCCCATCCCCACGTGCCTGGGGACCTGCTGCTGCAGTCGGGGGGGTCCTTTGGGACCCCCCAATAGCTCTGGCTGGTGTTTGTACCCCCATGGACTCCAGTCTTTGGCTGGGGGGGGTGGCCAGGACCAGCGCCCCGCTGTGCGGGCCTGGGGAGGACAGGTCCCTCTGGCCAGATCCAGGTCTCCCACAGCCCACTGATAACCCCCCCCCCCCCCCCCC